ATTCAGTGAAATAGGAGTGGGGTAGTGCAGACGAGGCCGACACGAAAGGTAGTATGTTCCATAAAATAACACATAAAGTGTCTAGTACCGTGAAGTATAGCTTTTGGACAGTAACAACAACATGCTTCTCATAATCCGCGATCAGTGACACATTTTTATTACGTGCGGCGACACTCAAGTCGATGTTGAGAATACCGAGGTATGCGGGCCGTATTCGACGTCGTAGCGAATGTAAATCCTATTCTTGGTTCCACTCCCAGATATAGAATCTTCTATGTTGTGCTCGTGTAGAATCCCAAGCTGGAATATCATTGTGTTTCAAACAATCAGACGACCATATAAATGGAGGATTAAATGCCGATATTTTACGCAGGCACGTCCGGTACCCACATTACAAGGAGCAGTAAGCTTCTGAGTGCTTGGTTGGCAGCCCGACTTCAATCTGACCTCAGACTGGGAAAGCCTGGAGGCGCAGCGAGCCTTAAACCTTAAATTGAAGAAGGCTCTCTACAGTGTCTTTCCTACGTCTCATCTCTGAGAGGAGAGAAGTGCTGGGCTGTTCCTGGGTTGGTGTGTGGTGTACCTATACTGTCTGGTATGTGCGATTCAACTTCCCCTCGTCGTTGTCATTCCCGTTGAGCCATATTCGATATATGAAGCTTTGTTGGAAGCTACTACTATAGTGACGTTGGTATCAATGATGTAAGAGGCTACATCCGCATGGCATCCCATAGTGAGATTGACAAACGAAAGTCGGGTATCCGCCGTCGTTGGTCCGCTAAGGTCAGGCTAACTAGGCAAATGGGGCAAATAGGGCACCTACCGATCATAAGGGTCAGCTCTGTAGCTTTTCCATGGGATCCTGAGGGAATTTTCGGTTGTAATACAAATCGATTCGGGAAGCCCCTGGACATTGAAAGTCTGGGGTAACGAGGCTATAGAGAAAAGGGGGTGCCAAGAAATTTTATCTTGGCGCGCACTCTAGCCAATACTTTGACTAGGTCCGAGATCGAGAGTTTCACATATCAGCAAAGACACTACTTACGTCGAGTTCTGAAGAGACTTTTGGTGCGTCTCTCATGTCGGAAGAAAGGCGAAGTTTAGCAGCCCCTCTAAGAAGTCCCTTTCGCTCCCCCAGTGATACTTAATGCTCACCTTTTAGTATTACCCTTTGAGCTGTTTAGCTAGCTCAATGTACCCCTGTTTAGGTAGACAGCGATAGGCGTTCCCAGCTGTGAGGCCATATCCATGTGGCCACGAGGACAGAGACACGAGAGCTTTCCTTTGCCTCTTCCTAGGAAGCATGAATTTCAACCTCTTCGATCTATGGCACTGGCTCTGGTTCAGCGTTGGTCTCCGCAACTCAAAGAGATCCGGCACTCCTCCTCTATATCTTCGCTGGAGAGAGTGTTCACATCACGAAGTGTATTTACTCTCGACTATGCCACGTTGCGGCCGCTTTCATAGATTGATTTGACCTCGATTAATCCATAGCTTTTCAAAAGGTTAACTTTATGGATATCCAAGCTCAGTGCTGGCTTCATAGCGCTACGGTACACCTTAGTCTGACGAGTGATAATGTTTCCTCGAGACCTGGCTATCGTCCTCCCATAGCAGCTTCGCAACCTCGAGCAGGAGCTTGGGGCCCCACGGCGCGCTTATACGGTGATTCCTGACTTTACATCGCGGGCGAACGCCCTATAGCTTTATAGGCCGAACATTTAGCGGTATGGGTCACTTTCCCATGTCACCTCTAATTATTAGCGTTATATGATTTAGTAATACACACCGCTGACCGGCCCGGCGAGTCGAATAGGACCTCGTCACCACTACGTAGATGGACTTAAGGATATCAACTTCGTCATTCACATGAATCACGTCAGACACCCAAAAATGACTTCAACACCGTAATCATCCCGACGATACTGGAGAAATGAATATTTGCATAGAGAAGATCACATATGATCTTGGTATCTACAGAGATTTAGAGTGAACATGGGAATGTCTTTGGGAATTACATAGATATCATCACTCGTCCCCATTCAAATCAGACCCTACCTAAGGCCTGTTGTATATTTCACAAGGTTCACCGTGGCCAACCATTGACGGTCTTCTCACCCAGGGGCAGTGGAACCAACATATCCAAAGCTCAGTGTCCATCTTGAAGCGTTGACCCATAGCGCTTTGAAGAATAACGAAAGCTGTGACATTGGGTTGTAGTATCCCATAGCCTCTACGCACAGGAAAAGAATTTCAGTGCATTGAGTGAATTAAGCAAACGTGCCTGATCGGTTCAATCTTTCTACCCCTTCGCCTTATCCAACCTCCCTCGTCTCCTCATTCTCACTCGTCGACAGAGAGGTCTTACTGGCTTTCAGATGAGCACTCTCGCACCCGGACGAAAGAAAGATAACGCAAATCCACAAACAGTCATCTATCTAATTACCACAAGTATCGTTCTACCATCCACTTTTGTCGTGATGAGAAATAGTTGGTCCATCATCTTTCACTGTGAATTGAGTAGCAGAGCCTTGGTTACTCAACAGCCGTCGTCGCTTGGGTTTCGCCGCACCTTGACAAATTCAAACCTCCCCTTGCTACCTAGCGCTCATTAGAAAGCGCTCGAGACTATCTACGTCGCACGTTTGCAGATATGTGATTACTTGCTGAGACATGTCGATATATACAAGAAAGTGTAGCAGTCAAACAGTATTGGGTCATACCCGGTTTCGGGAATCACCACATAAATTAGGCTACAAAATAGACTTTCTTCAGAGCTCATATGGCGGATATCGCTAGTGAAGCCCTTCCCCTTTTGCGACCTGGCTGTTCATTTCATCTGTCAGTGTCATCTTCGCCTTGACCCGGAAGGATTCGCTCTTCATGGATCGTCGCGAGCGTCTGTCTCCGTATGTCCCCGGCCTCGGTTTGGGCCCTTCGTGCCTCACGAAAAGAGAAACAGAATGATATCTTCTCCGTCATTGCCTTTCCGAAGGCCTTTGTCACCCTTAGATCCGTCACCGAAGGCCTTTCAGGTGCGTGGGAAGACGAAGAGAAGCCCGCAGCAACAAGACCGGCCGATCCTTCCTGGGCCATGTCCCACGGAGACTGGAGAGCTTGTGGATCTGAAGAGGCAAAGTTTGATGAACTTCGATCCTCTGGAGGTGTATCATTCACAGCGACGATAGTACTCTCATATCGTGTCGGAACCTCCGGCTGCGGCTCCCCTGACTGCATATCGTCGGAGAAATATGATAGGGATTTTATTTTCGTGATTTGCCTGGGAATACCATAATAGCTAAGAAGACCTAATTGGGGACGGAATCAGAAGTATTGAGTCGAAATATCTGGTGTAGTAAGAGGCCGCGGACCATCTCTAGATAAAATGACGGAGAGAAGAGAAGTAGCCAAGGAAGAGAAGACGGAGTGAGGTAGGAGGCCGAAGGTTTCTATATATGCTGTACATAATTGTACAATAAGCTGGTGGCCCAGACAACTAGTTTACCAACCCAAAGTCTTCTACCTGGTCCGCTGTGGGGATATGATTTCCACGCCTTGCGGAAGCTTGACTTTGTCGCACTACAGTACACTACTTGATCAGTCCTGGTCTTATGTGGCTGGCCAGGAAAGATGCTATCCGAGACCATCATAAGTTGGCACGCTTCTAGTAGTTGTATTATGCATGCTTCAGACACTCAGGCGAGAGTCGGGCTCTTACGACAAAATCAGTACTTAATATCTTGATCGTTTGAATGCCGCGTGTAAATAGCGACATAAGAGTCAATTTCGAGCGAAAGTGAAAGCTAAAAGAATAATATTCGGAAGCAAGATAAAAATACCGAGAACGCTAACTAACGTACGATTGCGGACCCTCTTACCCTAGGCGCAATGAAGTGGAGTTGGATTTCCGTTCTGCTATTCTGAAGCTTTCGTGATTCTTGGATCATCGAAATTTTGTTTGTAATTTAAAGCTATCAGAAACCATCAGTCTTCTGATCCCGTGTACTGGAGGCCTATCCGACGAAGAGCCCCATACCATCATCAACCAATCTATGAAGCCTCCAACTTCTAGGTACATTAATCTCTCCTTCCTGACTAAATTATTTGCTGCGGCAATAACGTTATAGGAAACGACAGACACCCTTACGGCATCCCGCCCCGTCCTCTTACCCTCTACCGCCTCACATATTCAACTACCCTAAGCGAAGAGTGGCAGTCGTTAATGATGGGGAAATCGTACCAGGCCGAGTTGTAATACAGCGAGGCAGCTATCGAAGCCTAGAAGTAAGAACGAAACAGAATACAAAGGTTCACGGGAAAAGGAAAAATTTTGAACGGTTTTCTGTCGCAAAAGGAGGAAATACAATTTATGGAGAGGATTAAATATAGTAAACGAAAAGCTAAAAAAGGTGCAAGGGGGAATAGGTAAGAAATTGGCTAATTACACTCTCAGATCAGCACTGAGTTACGACTGCGAGAATATATCTCTATAGCTGACAAGCTGAACCACCGCCCTCGCCCCACTTGGGAAGCAAAAGGAACCCGAAGATTGAACGCCTATAGCCAAACCACGAGACGATAATACGACCGGAGTCTCGTTTCCCGAGTCGGATCGGCATGCCGGTATAGGAGAGACAGTCATTTGAAACTCTTGCTTGTAAGGCGCTACTAGTCTAGTAATGATACACAATCAACTACGTTTCCGGCCCTTTCTTTCTGGGCGGAGGGAGCGGTAGGTTTCTCCGTTAACCTCGTTCTCCAGGTCTGTCTCTTCGTCATACGGCTTATTTTACCCCCGACGACCCCTTGCGCTTACTTGATTTTGTCCTGAAAGGTATCGTAGTTCTGCTGGTGAATTATTCCCAGAATAAAAATTACATTTTTTATAAATTGTCCTACACCCGCGCCTTACACGGTCCCCTAGCCGCGACTTTCGTGCGAGACATCCGAGAGTCTTGCACTCTTCCTTCGGGGCCATTTTCCTCCACAGAGTGTCAATCATGGCCGACTCCTGGTCCCGCGGCTCGTCTGGCATCATCATTTCAATAGTAGTATCGACCTTGATGATCCCTACCTTCGTGTGGGCGAATGGCATACCAAACGTCTTCCCAATCGAGACCACCGTTCAATTGTGGAATAAGTCTACGGTCCAACGTTGGAATCACTCTACTTTTTCCGGTCTGATATATCCCTCGGCGATTGTTTCTTTGGGTAATAGTGACCACAAACGCCGTTCTCTCACCGCTTCGCCAGTTAAGATGAAGGATGCTATTGGATGGGTGTCGTGGCAGCCACCACTGCCGCATAACACTATACCGGCCCTCACCGGGCCTAACAAATCTCCGCTACCTCCCCTTCTCACTTTTATGAGTACTATAAGTGCCAGCGAATCTCCTACAACAACTGTCTTAGGAATGGGCAACGTGACAACTACAACCGACGACGACGAGTGTGCCAGAAATCGGATGGCACTGGATTGCTCGACAATGTCCCGAAGCTCTCCTCAACCCGACTGGTTCTCGCTCACAACCTCCTGGACCAACGTGAGTCGGTTGGGCACAGTCACGAGTATTTCATCTGCGTCAGCTTTGGATACTCCTGAGGAGACTACGTCATGGAGTCCTTCACCATCCACGGTCTCCATTCTCAAATCCGTGATGAATTCTTCTTTAACGTACGAAACGGTATCCGCCTCGGATGGGCCTAATGTTGCGACCACCTCCTTCACTTCTTCCACGGCGACTACCTCCAGTTTCATTTTTGCATCCTCACCTGGTGCTCCCGGGATATCACCAGGCAGCCCCCTCACCGGTGGTGAGGCGCTCGTGACTCGGGCGCAGTATTTGCTGAAAGTCCTTGGAGCTCTGAACATCCTCTTCTGGGCTATGTAAAAGCCCTTTATTAGTGGCGGAGTGCCTGTTGCTTACGGCAACACGGTGGAAGTTAGAGGCCTTTTCTCTTCCCATAGACGTCGAAATTGATTTGATCTAATTTCTTTCTCGATATTTAGAGGGGTGTCTAAAGGTCCCTTTTCCTTTTTCCTTTTTTATCGGTTTCATGCTCGTGAGCCACCAGATTGCCACCCGCTGAAATTATCCATTTGGTTCTACTGCGACAATCTTTATCGATTGATCTGTCCCGACTACGTTCATTGCGCGGGGGACTCTACCGGTTGTGTAATCGGTTATAGTGCCGCTGTGCATAGGAGGACTGATTTGCCGAGATGTCAGCGAATCTCTGGAGTCCAAAACGGAGGATGAAATTTGTAAGACGAAAAGATCTCCGGTAAACAGCAAGTCATTGAGGTATCCCGTCCCACTCTCGAGAGTCTCGTCCAATCAGTATCCGGCCATTCTCATCGCAAGTTAACTTTAGCAAGAGATTCCGGTAGTGTAGTAGTACCTCGTCTGCAGCGACGGAGTAGATATGATTGCAGATCGCTTTATTTATTCATATATTGTCTATGTGGAAACAAATAATAATCTCTATCTTGTCATTTAACGTCTGCCGTTACATACTTTCCGAGATTCCTTCTACCTCCCACTGGTTTTCACCCTCCGTCGAGATTACCATCGGTCTCGCCACGAATGGCGTGCTCGACTTTACGGCGATAAATGATCCTCGGTCAATCTCTATCTTTTGCCCTGGGGGCTGTAAACATCATGAGTGATATCATAGCGAATGTGCAAACCGCTCCAGCCAAAGTTGATACACTGAGAGACCCTTGTTTAATAGTGGAGATCAGTGACAAACCTTGCACCTTCGAGTACACCACGTAGGTGACAACACCGGGAACCAAGAAGAACGTAATACTCAGTAACCCTATCACGAATGTAAACGTCCACCATAGGAAACGCCATCGCTGCGGAGGAGTCGCATTCGGTCGAACGTATACGAGGGACCATATAAACACGACCGTTATTGCCACCGTGGCTACCAACGTTACAATGAAAGTGTCATAGACAAATGACGTGGTCAAGGAGGAGAGGACGTCGTTCAATAGATGGAATTGGTCCAAGTGATTACTCAAAATGCTTGGTAGAGTCGACGGCAAAGCCTTGAGGATGTTCACCGGCAGATTGTAGCATTCACTGATGTGAGTGAACCCTATACAGAAACTTTTTGTGCCGGCGGTAAAATTTCGGGGAAGGGCATCCGCAGCCTCCGAAACGGCTGTGCCAACTGTGCCAGCGGCGCTACTAACCTGGCTAGCGACGTGAGATGCGGCCGTGGCCGCCTCACTCGCAACGGTGGCGACCTCGGTTGGGAGTGGGTGCGCGTGCACGGACAGCAAGTCACGTTGAGATGCAAAGTGTGCAGCGGGAAAATCGAACTATGGGCCAGATTTCCTGCCGGTTAGTCTGTTGACAAAACGAAGACAATAGGATGTACCTCGAAGCTGATGATTCCTTCGCGTTTAGCCTTCTCGAGGCAGAGTGATAGAACACTAGTAATCACACAGTAGAGCGCTGCGGCTGAGAAGGCGCACAATACGAGGAGTTTTACCCACTTGCCATCTGACATGGTGAGAAATGGACTTGGTCGCGGGGCGGTCCTACGACTATTCACCGTCGCACTGTCCTAGTGAGACGAGGTAGGAGCTCATCCTCAGTCTAATATATGAGAGCGTTATACGGATTTTAATAGATGTCTAGGTAATATTGTCCGGTCGTGGAGAGCAGATATCCTTTACTCCGACCCTACGATCTTCAGTAGTCATGGTGACAAAAGCTGTATTGTATGAAAACAAGAAGATGGTCCGAAACGATAGATTCATCTCCTGCCAACGCGCAATCGTAATAAGAAAGTATTCGAAACTACATTCAGTCAAGTTTTCGGTCTCGCTTTCTTTACATCAGGCGTGGTGGGATACAGAAAGATGTGATGAAACTTTGCTTTTGTTCCGTTTCCTTTTCGACGCTTGTTTATTTAGCACATCTAGAATGCTAACCACAGCTAACAAAGAACTACGGTGAACAGGCTACTATGAATAGGTAGCCGAAAAGTTATCTAACTCTAGGAGAGACGTTCCCTTGATTTCCACTTCTCTACTTTTCGCCGACCTCCCTCCTAAACTTTCCTCCGAATTTTACGGCGAATCCGTTATTTTCGACTTCCTAAGCAGTATTTACTGCTGGAGATTGACACTGGTTTTATCTCTCTTCGACGTCGCGTTTTATTTTGACTCCTGAGTTTCATTGAATTCATTATCATTACCTATATCCAACCCCATTTCGATGCTTCTTATGTCGTTTGACTCAATATATTTGGTGGACAAATATTTACCTTCGAAAATGACAATTTCAAATCGACAGAGTGGGGAGCGTATCAATACCTTGATCTTCTCAGCTCATTTGCTGCCGGTATCAGCACCGCACAGCCAAAATGGCGTATGTTGACGTAGGTGCGCGATTGATAAGGTATAGAGAGGTTCTAGAGAGGCTGGGAAGCACGGAAAACTATCGCTAGGCCACCCGTTCGAGTCAACGTGATTCTCTTCTTAGACGTAGCTGTCATATTCAATCGCCGCAACATTTATGCTACGAGAGCACACCGATCCTCCCCCGGCATCTTACGTGTCGGGCCGAATCCTCGCCTCTTTCTTTTTCGATGTTGGGCTATAGCAGAACGCCTCATTCCACCGTGACAGATGTTGTCATCGCTCTCCCGAGCACTACCGCACCCACAGCTTCAACCACGGTAAAGCTTGGCGATGCCGTACTGCTTACGGGAGTCTGTTCTCAGCCATACTTTGTTCTTGTGTCAGGCGCGGGGATTTCCTCTTTATTGCCACTGATCGGCTGCTCAGCGGGTCGTCCGACCTGTTGTCCATTTGACGTTTTTAGCAATGTACAGCTGTTTTTACCTACATGTCCTTACGGATTTGTCGGAGCGGCGGGACATTGCTGTCCTTCGTAAGGTTTCTTCTGCAGTCCATATTGAAGACATCAACTGACGGAGCAAAATGCACGGCAGAGGATGGTCACTGGATCATGTCGGCGTATCATCTCTAGCAATGTGTCGCACTCCTGTACCAACGGTGTTGGTTCCGAATCAAGTCCCGAGCATGAGTCCGCTCACTGTGATATCTAACAACTTATATACGACACCTTATCAGACCAGTCCGCACTCTCCAGCAGCTTTACAGACGAGCCTTATCGTTATCATCGCCATCAGTGCTCTCGTGGTGGTCGTGTGCGCGTTGGCGTGTATATTTGCTCTCCTCTCCCTGAAATACCGGCGGCAACGGATGCGCGCTGTACGCGCAAATCCTGCTCTCGTTCAACGCGTGCAACGACAGCCAATGCCGAGAGCGATAGCTTCTTCAAGGCCAGACATTCATGGTGGGAAGCAACGGCCACTTCGGCCAACCGGGATAACTACAGGGCGATTCTGGGAAGACAAAGCCCTTCCCCCCCTTCCTCCTTCTTCGGCTCCTCCTCTTCCTCCCCCTCCCCTCCCCCTCCCTTCTCCTCCTCATCCTCTACGGCCCCCTGCTTGCCCTGCTTTGTCGCACGCATCGGCGTTGTACGAGCTCCCTGGAGATTGCCGGTTCAACGAGCTGAGCCCGGTAGAAGAAGATATAATAATTCACCTCTCCTCAAACTTTACCCTTTCACGAACATCTGGGCCGTAACGACGCTTCTACTTCAATATGCTTCTTCAACGTCACAAGCATCACCCTGAGGCATTCGGCCACGTAAGCGTCAGCACGGTCTCAACACATCATACCAAGGTGTCAATATGAACTCGTCTTCATTTGACACCACCTTCACAACGATTCTAGCATCAAACTACCAAAAGTTTGCGCCATCCTTAAAGCATAACATACTTCCCCACCGGGGGTTTTGGGGGTGGGGGATTTTTGCATTCGTAATTGAGTAATGCCTAGCTACCTACGATCCTGAAATAGCGCTTTTGTCGCTAAGCTACAGTACACTATATAGCATTTGGTCTCGAGAAGTATGCCAAAACTCCGGGGATTTTGGTCGGCAGTGTACGGAGTAGTTTCCAGACTATATGGGAATAGATTTTGCTGAACTAGTCGCGCGCCCCGGTCGGAGCCCGGTACGGAATATATCTTAGTACTATGGTTTTGCTTGTGTGGGCATAACAAAAGCGATTCGATAGATAAGGCGGGGAGGGGAGAATACACAAAGCTTACTGGTTATTTTCTAAAACTTGGCTTTCCCAACTCGGATAATCATTGGCCAATTTTATCAAGTTCGTAAACATTGCGAAAGGGAATTGTTCCTCAACTAGTATGGGTCGTCGTAGGAGAGTTAGGGTCACAAAGCAAATTTGTCTATGGCGGCTGCTGCCCCCCTCTAGCTTTTTCTTGCTCTTGACTGTTTGACCTAGACTTCGCAATTCGCTATTCAGTTACTGGTTCAGGATGTGGCGGATCGTTCTTCTTGGTGGGGTTGTGTTTGAGGCCAAGCCGCTAAAGCCGCCCTCTCAACAATTGGACGACGCAAAGGGCCCTTATTTCTTGAATGTTGTGTTGTACGCAGTACAGATGAGTTTGTAATCGAACCACCTTATCTCCCTGACTGGGATGTTCGACTTTCCTATTTGTGGCGCTCAAAAGTCATCGCTTAATAGCTAATTGTAATTGGCCGGTTTTGGGAAGGATCACTAGCTTGAGGCGCTACCTATTGCTGAGCCCCACAATCGACTTGTCTAGAGGCGGCACGCTCGGTTCCTCAAGCTTTCAGTCACCCTTTTTGCTATTGGATTACAAGAAGAGGAGGTTGATCATATCATGGATCATCTCAAATGAACTCGCGATATCCGCCCAACGAAAAAAAAAGAAAAGAAGGCGCTAAAGCAATGGACACCCAGGCCCGCTGGCCTTACTTAGATGGATATCAAGACCACTCACCATGCC